ATTAGTATTGTGGAGAACTCTAGGATTTCATTTTCCGATTTTTTGATCACCATTTTTGCGTGTTCATGCGTACCCGTGGCAGACTCCCCTCTCCACCCGACCGTTTTTATTACAGCATTTTGCCACCAGTGTCTAGGAGTGCCTTTCCTTTCTATCAGATTATATTTGTAATTATTTTAGCTAGTTCTGTGCCACATTCAAGCAGTCCTCATTACATTTCCATCTTTCCTTTTGCTCCTCAAAATGGCCAATTGTAAATCAGCACCAATATGTTGAGTTAGAGCCTCTCATGCCTCCTGCATCCCTGCAAGGTCATAACAAAAGTCTACAAAAGTAGACCCTGACTATTTAGGAAGTGTTGTTCCCAGAGGGGTCTTGCCAACCAGTTAAACCGCTGGTCGGAGGCCAGGCTCCGGGGAGAGCCGCGCCCTCACGTCGCAGGAGAGCTCGCGCTGGACTTTCCCAAACGCCGGCTCCGTGCTGCTTGCTCCTTGGCCGAGTCGCGTGTAACATTCCGACTGCCCTGACCACGGTCCCCTCGCTTCTGCGCATGTGCGTGCACCTCCACGCGTTCTCCTCCCGAAGGACTCACAGGGACATGGCTCCAGTTTCACACACGCTGTTCCCTCGCTCTGGAAGGCTCTTCTTTCAGGTAAATGTCACCTCCTCAGAGCAACCTCCTCCGATCTCATAGATACACCCCTTTATACCATTCCCCCCTCCTGTTTAGATTTTATCAATTTCTCTTATTTTTTTGCTTTTGAATGTTCACTGTCTCTCCCTAGATGTAGGAAAAGATCTTTTCCATTTCATCCCCGAAACCCTGAAGTCTTAACACTTCCTAAATGACTGCGTGCTCCCTTAACACAGGAGTTCTAAAAATAAAATTATTAGAGCTTAATATTTGAAATGATGTGCACGCATATTTTGTAGCTTTATTCCCTTTAATACCATGATATAATCATCAGAGTTCACGTATTATCTCAGACAGATTATATTTACCTCCTGCTATTATTTTTTCTTTTAGAAACTAATACTGTTATATTTAATATATATATATATATATTTGTATAGGATTAATATTAGGACCACATACCATTTGAATGTTATATGTATCTGCTGCAAAATTATATTAGCATTTGTTCTAGAAATTCAACAAATATTACCCCATATCTATTATTCCCTGCTGTATTTCAAACAATATTTTTTCTGGACTTAGAAATAAATGTGTTTTTTGCCAAATGTGTGTGTGTGTGTGTGTGTGTGTGTATCCTAATATATTCCCCTAAACATGTTTTGCTTCCAAGAACTTTAAGGCAAACCAGTTCAAAGTTATAATAATCAGGTCTTCTTAGGTGTTCAAAATCATTTAAGCATTCTTCTTTTAGGTCAGTAAATTGTAATTAAATTACCTTCACAATCAATGTGAAGGACCATCTCCACAAAACAAATACAAGTATAAAAATATACATATATTTCAGTGGGTTAATAGACTGCACCAAGTTTATTTACTAACCCATATTAAGAACTTCTGTATTAGGTAATTTTTATCTTATTTTGTCCTCCAGTGTTTTCATTTGCATTGTTTTATTTGTAAGCCATCTGTAAATCTTTAAGAAAGAGCAAAAGTATTCAACTTGATTTTAAGTAAGCAATTTCAACCTTTTATAATTCTCTCTAATTAAAGACATTACATAGCCTTGGACTCAAGATTGAGAAAGTGAGATAACTTATTTTTCAGTCTTTCTTATTCTATAGTCATGGTTACACACAAAGATATAGTCCCAAAGGGGATACAATACAAGGTGAAAACCGCTGGAAGGTCTCCTTAATTTATATAATATTCTGTTCCAATATTTAAGGTTCTGAACATTCTGAATCTGGATGGTGTGCCATGGATAATATGCTGTGTTCTTTCTCAAGGTGTTCTGCAAGTTGGACTCTTGGTAGTATGATGACAAATAAATTTTCATTATTTTGGACACTGACACAATAAATGTAGTAAGAGTTTTTCCCAAACTAGTATATGTCTTTTATTATGATCATGGTAAATATCACTGTTGCAGGTACAAGTCTGTCTTGCTTTAGAATCAATCAACCTCATGACTTGAACTTTGGGTAACAGTACATTACAGGGTGAATTTTCTCAGCTTTACTGAATTTAAACAAGTATGCTAACTTACGCTTTCATGTATGTAATCTTTAAAGCTCGGATAGACTTAATAGATGATATTTATCTTACCATTTTTTAATGCATTTTAAAATATTACCTTTGAAAGAAAATATATTTCTAGGTTAATAAAATAGCGCAATCAAAACCTTTATTTTTCTCATTAGACTGAAATAAACCAAATGAACAAGAAAAATGGCAGTAAAAGATTTAGCACAGAACATTATTTTTCAGAAGATAATGTTGAGAATATTATGAGAATATGCACATTGCTTACAATTGAGTTGCAGAAAATCAATGCATTTACCTTTGAAAAGCAGAGGTATTCATTGCCTTCAGGCTTCAGGCTGGGAGCCGATGGTCCCACACAGGTGGTCTTCTGGTTTGTAATGAAATAAAATGGAAGAATCTCTCTGGAAGGAAAACTTAGGTCATTTCTTTCTCAAGCCGTATTTATTCCACAGCATATATGGAACACGTTAATAGTTCTGCCTATCTTTCTTTGCCAGAGTAGAAAACAGGTTCTAAATAGTCTGATTATCAGAAAGCCAAAAATATAAGAATGGCATATTTAAAATTATAATTTACTTAACTAGTGAAAACTGAACACATTATCTTCTTTAGTCAGGGATTTGCAGTCATCTTTTGCGTATTGCATTTAGCCAACAACCAAATTTTAATTTTTAATTAGGAGTTATTAAAATATAATTAGCAGCAAATAACAGAATGGCAAAGCAACAAAAATTCATAAAGGTTAAAGAAAGCAGCATTTTTAGACATTGCAAGAGGTGTTTGTTCATGAATTTAGGGAACTGTGGTGACTGCCTCACCTTCCCCACGTTCACCTCCAAGGCAAATTTTCTAGAAGCAACATTCCTCTTTGACAATAGTAATAATGATAATAATACAGAGATGTTGTCAAAACCAGAGAGGATACATTCTTCAGAGTCAGGAGACCCTCAAGCCTCATAAACACCGTGTATAAAGAAACATAGCGAATTCCAACATAGCATACACAAAACAAAATTAACTCATTTATCAGTGACTGATACAACTTTGAATATGCATTTTCCAGAAGGAAGCAGAGGACAACAGAGTGTCAAACCTGTGGAAGTGAAACAATTCATTACAAAATTCACACAATATATGGATTATAAATGAAAAACAAATGCGTTATCAAAAGAAGTTGGTTGATGCCCCAACATATAGATATCCATATGTATATATTTATATATATAATAATAAAAATCAGCTTGCATGAGGGTCATAGTACATCTACTTGGAAGGTATATCACACATACTATAAGCAATTTGCAGAATTTGTCAGGTTTGCATATACGGGAATTGCAAAATGAATTAAAACACAATGAAATACAGAGCACTCAAAATCTATTTCTATAAACCTCCCAGGATTGACAGGGATTGGCCATAATCAGCACTTGTCACCATTGAACAAGAACTGTAATCAAGAAAAAAAGGAAAAAGTCCAAGAAAAAAGGGGAAAATTTAAAATAAACCTCCCAGGATTGACAGGGATTGGCCATAATCAGCACTTGTCACCACTGAACAAGAACTGTAATCAAGAAAAAAAGGAAAAAGTCCAAGAAAAAAGGGGAAAATTTAAAAAAAATATTTGTTTTATTATTCCTTGTTCAATATAACGTTCTCCTGTTGACTCGCAATGTTGACAATTTTGTCCTTGTCCCCAAACAGGGGTATTGTCTGATGATAGTTTATGTTCTATAGCCTTTTGGTCTCCGTTTGCTTCCTCCAGATAATGGGTCCTTTAGTAGGAAATCCGTGGTAGCCATAGTAAATATTTACTATGCTGATGACAGCCAGGCCAACCCCTGAGCAGTCAGTGAGATGGTTTTAGTTGCCAAAAGAAAAGGAAGAAAAAAAAAATAGATCTTGCTATTAGAAAATGTCCTATCACTTCACACTAATTCTCTTGAAATAAAAGATCAGTGATTTGCCAAAGAAAATGTTATCAACTAAGCGTGTGACAGCCTCTTCGTTTATGCTTCTGGAAGCAGGAGCTCCTTGTGTAGGTAACTAGAGTACAGTGGGTGCAGAGTGGTGCTTGGAGTTTAGGGTCAACTTTGCTGTCCGCTCCGTAGATTTTACAGGCGATTTGCTCTTTGCTTTAAGAAGAGAAAGTGATATTGGAAAAAAGTCAGCACTTTAGATTAAAGCAAAGCACCCTTCACAAAGCCACAAACAAGAAGCAGGACAGAAAGTCCATGGCTTGTAGCTATCCTCGCACCTGCGGAAGAAGTTATAAGATATTCGCTCATCTTGAAGATTTCCAATGCTCCTTATTAGGCTGTTTTAAACACATACACACATATATTTAATTAGCTCGCCAGCTTGGCTCTGGTGCCCATGTGTGTCTTGGCATGCACTGCAAACAACAACACATACAAAGCATTTCAGTCCCAGGAAGGTGGCGTTGCTTGTCTCGTCTGTTTTTCACACAATGCCATCCCGAGCTTGGGAACGCTGAGAGGGACACATATTCAAATACCTTTCCCTCAAGGAATTCCTGGAGGATCCTTTCCCTCTAGTCATGCAGCTGTTCCTATACTGGTCCCTAAAGACAGGCCCCCTGTTTTGCTACCTACCGCATGAGCACAAAGCACAGGAGATAGAACAGAAACCGGGAGGGGGCTTCTCAAGGACGCGAGCACTTGCTCTGGGGTGTGTGCGTTTGGGTATTTACTTCTAGAGTGAGATCTTTCTCAAGTTTTTATGCTTGAAATCTGAGGAACATTTAGTCCTGTCAAGAATTGGAAAATCTTGAAAGAACTTTAAGACTACCCAAGGGAAAGAATTAAATTGTATTCTTGCATTTTTTTCCCATATAATTAATCCAATAAGCTTCTAGCTGCAAATGATGTATTAATATCTTTATTAGTAGAAAATGAATGTGTGTCAAGACTCAAAGCTCTTTTTTCTCTCTCTTTTTACTGGAGAAAGGTTAAAGGGTTTGAAGGGGGTAAGGGTGGGGAAATTCAGTCTTTTGAATATTTCAGCTAAATCATGTTTAGGTCTATGTTGGCAATGGCAGAAATTGTGGCAGAACCCCCTGGTCTCAAAGAGTCACTGTAGAATAAATATTTGGGGCTTCTCAAGTGGTCATTTTGTAAACTCACGTTACTGTTTTCCTGCCAGGTTACTTTAGTGTTGCCACGGATAGGCCTTTTTGATAGATGGGCTATATATTGAATGCAAACTCTCCTCACAGAAACTTAATGACTGAAGACCCAGAGGTTAGTGGTGGTTCTCTGGAGAGTGCTCCTTTACTCAAGCTGGGTGACAAGGCTGAGAAGTGCAGCGTGATAGCTCAGTCCATGTGCAGCTTCCAGTACACAGACCATGTAAGGAAAATACGCACGATCGTGTAGCACCACTAACATCAGAGCTTTCCAAAACAAAACACGTGCTCTTGTCATCTTTAGAAGAGAGATTCTTTAACAGGAATTTATTTAATGGGAAAAAGAACCCCCAGAAATAAATACATAGCTCCCTAAAATAGCCAATTGTACTTGATTTGACACAAAGTATCTCTGGTCTTGAATACAAGTTTAAAAAACGCTAAAAGCAATAAAGCTAGGTAAAATGATTCACTCTTTAAAAAATGTGTTTTGTGAAATAAAGTCTGCAGCATGGGCATTGCAGATGGGCTCAAACATACTTAAACTGCCCCTTCCTAGTTCATTAGCCTCTGTAGGGAACACCCGACCACATCATCCCTGGGAGATATCAAGGGGACAGCTGCTCCGTTTCGATCCAACATTTCCTATTATGTCCAATATGTGCAAGTTAAAGCATAATTCACATGAGTGTCATAACTGGAAAGAAACCCAATTGTACACTGTAAAGGATATTTTAAGGCTACTAAAGTTCTGACTGCCATAAATATGCTATATACCCTTACGACAGAGTACTTTTTTTTTTCAGATTGTACTCATTCATCCACTCTAGGATGAATTACTAGTCTATTTTTAGTTAAATAAAATTTTTTTTTTTCTGTCAGGACAATTATAGAGATGTTTTTTCCTGTATAGTAAGTTGTATAGCAAATCTGTATTGTCATCAAAGCATGCATTGTTTTTCTCTTCTTTTGGTTGTATATTTAAGTCTTAAATGAAGAGATACATACTCCTTTATCTTTGTGGGTCCAAAGCCTGTTAGGCAGTGAAATTTGAAAATTTAAAATGCTGTATTTTGGGCCAGCCCAGTGGCGCAGGGGAGAGTGCGCCGCTTGAGAGCGCGGCGGCGCTCCCGCTGAGGGTTCGGATCCCATGTGGAGACCGGTTCTCACTCACTGGCTGAGCGCGGTGCGGGCACAGCACCGAGGGTTGCGATCCCATTACCGTCCCCAGTACGGGCGCGACACTGAGGGTTGCCATCCCGTTGCCGGTCAGTAAAAAAGACAAAAAGGAAAAAAAAATGCTGTATTTTGTCCTATGCAAGTTTAACAAATAATCACCACAGTCACGTTCATTCAGATTTGAACTACTTGCACAAACATTATTGTTTATCAAACACAATATAGTTTATTCTACGGAAATATATCTTTTTAAAATTTTCTTTTTGTGAAAAGCAAACTTTGGAAAGTCATCACGCTCTATTCTCATTTTTACAAATAGAACAAATAGCATTTTATGCTTGTGAGATGATGAGAGCCAGGATCGCCACCAGGAGCCCTGAGTTCTAATGTCCCCTGCCGCCACGCATTTCTGAGGTGTCACATAAGGGACTTCTATGTTTTCTAAAATGAGCCTGAGAAGTGTTCATGATTTTTAAAAAAATGTTAGTATGCTGGACATTGTGCTGGAATAGGGTCGCCTATTTTGTTTTGTTTGGTTTCATTTTCGCTCTGCCTGGGTCAAGCAAGATAACCTGCTGTCCCCCTAAATATGATCATATATTTAAGCCACTATTGCATACAGATAACCCGCTGTCCACTGCATCTGTTTCCTCCAGCCATTTGTGACCTCTCCCTTCTGGAGTTTGGCAGCATTTTGGTCATGCTCTTCTATGGCCTTCCCCTGGCCCACATTGCTTCTAATTCATTGCATTCATACCTTATCTCACTGACGACACTATTAGCTTATTAAAAGGAAAGAATACAATTTCCACGTTTTTAAAAGTTACTCTCAATGTCTAAAACAAAGCCTCGAGACTTTTAAAATTTTGCCCCAACAGAAGAAGAAAGAGAGATGCTATGATCTGAATTATATGAGGAAAATGCACTAGGGTCCTGCTGAGATGAAGAGTGGTCCTATAGGACCTGGAGATTCCTCTTGGGCTCAGAATGCCATTTCGTGATTTACCTCGACTTCTATCTAATAATGGTGACTTTCATCTGTTTTAATGCTTAGAAATTTCCATAGTACTCTCTCAGCTATAACTCCCCATGTCTTTGTAAGACAGGGTAGGTGTTTTCTCCATTTTGTGGAAGGGTATGAAAAGTCTTGCTAGAAGTCTAAGGAGTGCAGGAACTTCGCTTCCATTTCTCACCCTTTTCACTCCTCATGCCATAGCTAGGTTGGTACCACCTTCAACGAGATGTGGACAAGCATCCATTTCTCAAGAGTATAACAGATGATAGCCTGACCAAGGAGAAGTACAGAAAAAGCTTCAAAGATATTATCTTAACTCTCATTANTGCTAAGGCCATAGTTTATTTTAAAATACCACGTTTTTATTGTAACTCACCCATCCAAGTAGGAACTAATCTTGTGCAGACAGAATGATGCTGAGGACAGAAACAGCTAATGTTTTCTAAACACTTATTACTGCTTTACCTCTGGCCATGATCTCGTGAGTTTGCAATAATCATTTTATTGATGGGAACTGAAAGGGGTTATGCAACTTGTTCAAGTTTGCTCAGCCAGGAGGTGGTCTGCTGAGACCCCCATCTAGTTTCTGTTTGACTTTAGAACTGAGATGCTACAAATTAACTGGCATCATAATTTCATCTGGCAATTCTTCATACCTGAAAACTCTATATTTTCCTAATTCTGCCTATTAAAAACATATAGAAATATGATTAGCTTTGACAAAATAGAAGGGAGAACAATATAAATTGGTAGAAAAAAATAGAATGCTTTCAAAGAATGAAGTTTTAATACCAAATGTGTTTAGAAGCTGTTTTAATGCATAAATAAGAGTCATTTATAATTAGCACTACATTTACTGTTATATAAATAAATGCTGCTAATATGCTTGAAACTATTTGCTCACTGAGTGTAAGTATGCTTCCTGCATGTATGCTTTCATTTTTAATTAGTGAACTCTTTATTCGTAATGCAAAGGTAGATATTAATCCAGACTCTTTGAATGATCACAAATTCCATATTAGGAATTCCAGAAGTGGTTTTGTTGCACTGCTTTTTTGTCTTTTTTCATGACCGGCAACGGGATCGCAACCCTCGGTGTCGCGCCCGCACTGCGTTCAACCAGTAAGCGGACCGGTCTCTATATGGGATCCGAACTTTCGGCGGGAGCGCCGCCGTGCTCCCAAGCGGCGCACTGTAGCAGTGCGCCACTGGGCCGGCCCAAGATAATATACTTGTTTTAACATAGGAAGATGTCCTGATTTTACCCACATATTTTCCAAGTTTGAGCCAACAGTTTTATGCTTTTTATTAATCCAGCTATTTCAAAATTTTCAGAATTAGGATGTTTTATAAATTATCTTCATAACAGAAAGGATCTTCTTAGCTATCAGCATTAAGTAATTAGAAATATTTAAAGCAAGATTTTAAAAATTCATATCCTGTTTATCAAGGCATGCAAATGATAGGACAGAGGTAAGCTCTTGTAAGGAACTGTTCATCCAACTTCCTAGGCAGAATTTGTCATGAAATGTCATTTTAAATAAGTTAATATTATTGTTGTCATAAGTACAAATGAGGGATGGTCCGGGTGTTATTTTCCAGCCTTCTCTGACCATTACTACAAAAGCAATCTGGGGTGGTTTCTCAGAGACTGACCAAATTACATAAAGATTCATGTACACTCTTATCAGTGCCATCATCTTCATAAGTGTTTTGCACTGCACATAAACCAAAACATATTTTAAATCCCTAAACATTAATTTATTTCTAATTACCTGCTAAGTACAGTACTA